AACCTTTTATTGTACATTAATAATTTACTGTGCTTTTGGATGTAATTGTTTTACTTAACTTTTGAACTTGTTTGTTTATATCATTATTTCGGACATTTTGGTTTGGTATTTTGGTGCTCCTTTTGTCTTTGGTTTGGTATTTGGGAGTTTTGCTCCGGGAACCTACAAAATTGAAGGTTTGTTTTGTAATTGTTATAATTATTGTTAGTAGAACGACATTTGGTCGATTATTTGTGAATTACGAATAAACTTGGTACCTGATTTGGATTTTTGGTTCTCTTGCCTACTTGGGTTCGTAATTTGCAAGTAGATCGATAGTCCGTACTTCAATAACTAGAACGAGCAAAACTTGGACATAACATAAAGTTCTTCAATTATTGGTTCTGTGTTCATACCTTGGGTTTTCTGGATATTTTGGGTCCGAATTCCTGGTCTTATTGGTCGATTTCGTTTGGATTAATTCAGATTTGTTTTGGCAATTGATTATTTGGAACAACAAATACGATGGAAACACGGAGTAAAAGGCTGAAGGAAAATGACGAAATGGATGGTAACATTTCTAAAGCTGTTTGTGGTATGTCTGATGTTATTGATGATAAATGTGATGATGTTAGTCTTAATAGTATGTCCTCTAGCCAGCTAAGTACTTCCAGATTAAAGTTAGATAAGGCATTACTGAGGAAAAGGAATTTAGAGAAGAGACTTGAGTTAGAACGGCAACTTAAGATGTTAAATCTACAAGAAGAGGTTGATATCGCTGAACTAGAATGCAAGGCCATCGAGGACGATGGACGATTACCCGTAGATAAATGTGCGACAAATGCTAAAGTGGAAAATTATTTGAATCATGATACTGGTGTAATAATCACTCTGGGAAGGTCTGTAACATCTCAAATGTCGATTGGGTTGAGGAACTGAAGGACACGTTACATACAATGGTTAGTAACATGTCTTTACCTAAGATCGATATGATGTACTTTGATGGGCAACCAGGTCAGTATTACCGTTTCATTAGTCAGTTTAATAGCCTTATAGAGAGTAAATTGTCAGATAAGGGCCAATTGTTGTCGTATTTGTTATACTATTGTAAGGGAAAGGCCAGGACAGCTATTGAAGCTTGCATTTCATTGCCCATTCATCTGGGTTATGATAGAGCTAAACAGATTTTGTATGATTTATTTGGTAAAGAACATCTTGTTGCACGAGAACTAATTATTGAGTTATTAAACCATAAATCGGTCGGAGGATCAGCTGACTTATTAACTGACTTTGCGATTAAATTGCGTAATGTATGTATAACGTTGATGGAAATGGGATACATGTCTGACGTTAATTCTACGGCTAATTTGGAGGTAATAGTTTCATGTCTACCACTAGAATTGCAGAATAAGTGGGTGGAAGTCGCCGATAAAATCATGATGCATGGGAAGGAGCCGAGCTTCGAAGAATTTGTGATCTTTGTAGAAGAAAGAGCCAGGATTTCTCGAACACGTTTCGGTAGATTGGCACATTGTAACTCAAAGTTCAGTAAAGGTAATTATGAAGGCAAAGTTGATAAAAGATCGCGTTTTAATGTAGTTAAGCTGGAACCAAGCAACTCATTCACCGCTCTCAGTTGCGGAATCTGCTTTGCTGATCACAAAGAGACAGATTGTACGAAGTTATTGAAAATGAATGTTACCGAAAGAAGACACGAAGTGAGAAGACGTGGTCTATGTTACCTGTGTTTAAGGAAGGGTCACATAGCGAAGTCATGCGACTCGGATATCAAGTGTGACGTTGGTAATTGCAAGGCTCTGCATAATTCATTGCTACATATTGATAGTATTAATAACCGTGTAGTGAACTTAGTAAAGGACTGGAACTCGTCGAAGGTTTGTTTGGGTTTTATTCCGGTCAGGCTGTATGGTCCAAATGGAACTTTAGAAACTTACGCCCTTCTTGATAGTGGATCGGATACTTCTCTTGTATGTGAAGAGATAATTAATCATTTGGGTCTCAAGGGTAAGGAGACTTCGATAAAGGTGACTACCGTGAATGGAACCACTACTTGTGAATGTCAGGAAGTAAATTTAGAGATATTTTCATTAGATGAACGGGGTTACGTGAAGATCAACAAGGCTTATACGACCAAGAAGCTTCCGATCGATTATGTTGAACCTTTAACCGAGGAACAGCTGGGTTCGTGGGAGCATTTGAAAGACATAGCCCTTCCGACGTTGCAAAGTAATCTAGTGGGAGTGTTGATTGGGTGTGACACTCCAAACGCACATTGGGTTCTGGAACAACGTCTGGGAGACCGGGAACATCCATTTGGTATGCGTACGCCCCTCGGTTGGATGGTTTTAGGTCCCAGGGAGTCTTATAGGTCCGTAAATACAGTACAGCGTTGTCATTCGCATGGGGTTTCACCGGATCTAGAAGGACTATATAGTCATGAGTTCGAGGAGGGAGAACATATTGGTAAACATGGTTCACTTGAATCAAAGGTCTATGTAACAGGGGAACTAAATGAAGAAATGTGTTTGGAAGATTCACTTAATAGACGGCAATACAATGTTAGTGTTGATGGGTCTCGTAATGAATCCTATGGAAAGGTGGTAGACACTTCATCTGCATTTACGAAGGATCTGATGTCTCTATTGAATTTACGTGACAACACTCTATGTGGTGACAGGTATTCTAAGAGATGGAAGCAAGCGAATTACTTGGCACAAGTATTTTGGAGGCGTTGGTCCAAAGAGTATGTTTCTCTGTCGCAGCGTATAAATAAGTTGCCCTTAGGTCTAGTACAAAGAGTGATATCAAGTAAGGATAGATTAATGAGACAGGTAGAACTGAGGACAAAAAAGGGTCTTCTATTGAGAGATATTCGAAAACTGTGTCTTCTTGAATCTGTAGATGGTAGGTAGCTACTCGGGTCCCTAGGCGTACTGGTGTAAGTCCTAGGGATCACGAGATTGTTGGTATATTGAATGCTTGTTGTTGATTGCTTGTGATGTATATACTTGGATTCCTGCTACCTATTTACTTGTTTGTGAAAAGAACCAAGGTTCTTTTGGTCGGGAGTGTTACGGGAGAACTGAAGACCTTTGACGGATTAAAACCTTTTATTGTACATTAATAATTTACTGTGCTTTTGGATGTAATTGTTTTACTTAACTTTTGAACTTGTTTGTTTATATCATTATTTCGGACATTTTGGTTTGGTATTTTGGTGCTCCTTTTGTCTTTGGTTTGGTATTTGGGAGTTTTGCTCCGGGAACCTACAAAATTGAAGGTTTGTTTTGTAATTGTTATAATTATTGTTAGTAGAACGACATTTGGTCGATTATTTGTGAATTACGAATAAACTTGGTACCTGATTTGGATTTTTGGTTCTCTTGCCTACTTGGGTTCGTAATTTGCAAGTAGATCGATAGTCCGTACTTCAATAACTAGAACGAGCAAAACTTGGACATAACACTGATTAATTATTGATAATTTCGTGAAATCTTTCTGCTTATTCGAAATCATTTGATGAATATTATGCGCCCTAATATTGAAATTGAATAGTTGGATACTTGATCTGATGTAACGTAAACCACCGTTGAAAACCTGAAAGCACTTCATGGGCGTGTCGCGCTTGCAGGTTTTCAATGGTGGTCCAGCTTATATCGACTCAATAATACACCTACTAAAATCAACACAATTCTCACACAACTCATTCTGGTCGACATAAAAATTGATCTTCGGTCTTAAAGTCTCTTGGCGTAGCAATTTTCACATATTTGAATTGTCTGAAATGTGTTCCACGGATATTTAATACTAATGCACTAAAAGTATAAAAGAATGGTACTATTGACGCGACCAGTATAAAATGTTCATTATCAACCTTCTTCTTATGTCAATGCAAGAGAGGAAACCCGAACATTTGTATAGTGGATTTTTATTTTAATATTTAAACTTCTGATCAAGATATTGATAATCGCTGAAAAATTCCCATTATATTAAAACACAGTTTTATTTGATAATCAAAAATTTCCACGTATGATGTTTTCTGCATACTCGGTGATCAATCCTCGTAAAAATATTCGTTCTAATGTTAACGAATATTCGTATGAACTGACAGATTGTGTTATTGAGGATTTATGTCATAATAGAAAACATTCTTTTCTCTCTATCCAGAACACTAGATTACATTGTTCTTGAAACGTTCTTGGTCAATTTTTCTTCAAAAACCTGGTATTATTATTTTGTGTCACTTACATTTTACATTGAGAAATTTTATCATGCAGAACCGCCGAAATTTTTATCAAGATGAGATTAAACCTTGACAGTTATGCAACAGTGTTGTGAATCCAATCAAATCATTCAGTCCAAATGGCTCTATACATGACATCGAGTAACAGCATGAAAAAAGCATTGTCTAGTTTTATGACGTATTAACAGAATTAAACACAACAGATTTCACCAAATAAAACTATAAATATATCCATATAAGATATCACACAGAATAAACTATGAATTAAGATATTTCAGAAGAAAACTGAATATTCTGTGCAGATAGTAATTGTAGTGATCTAGAAATCTGATGTTACTACTTGATTATTACTGGTAGCTCTTGAATAATAGTCATTTTTACTTTGTGTAATCTACTCATCTGAAGATGTTGATGAAGTTGTATGTGTGAAGCGACCGATGCATGTTACTGGAATTTATTTTAATCACAGTACTATTACATATACAGAAATTACTAGGCTCTTGATGTGCTTGAATGCTATTACGAGTTCCCCTTACTCGATGAATGGAACGACGGTCAGACATACAGTGACACGATAGGCTATTCTAATCCGTTGTCTCTGGAAACGCTAACTACATCAATAAGTCTTGATGAGGCGTAGAGAATGTATTCTACGAGCATCCACAAAATAGGAGGTCACCAAGTACACAAATCAAGCCTATTTATACAATGATGGAAACACCCTTGGAAGAGCCTTAAACTAGTGGACTAAAAATATCCGCCAACCAACGATAGGCAAGGATTTCCGAGTGGGAAATGTAAGCTGTAGGTCAACTAGGCGTCTCTTGGCGCGCAAAAACTTCAAATTTTCTGAACAACATTACAAACTTAGGACACATTCCAAGTGAGTTCTGGGGATCAAACGTCCTCAACAGACCTCATTTACTGCCTTTTCGTAAAACTATGACACATCTTATTTTAAGAATGAGATTTTCTTTTCTTTTATTATTTACCTCATGTTTTGTTGATTTCATTTCTGTGGTCTTATTACGCCCTACACAAATATAAATTTATATGGAATTTTTATTATTTATTTATTCTATGGTGGAACTGTAGAGTGAGGTCAATGGGATTTTTAAATGAAACCACCAAACTATCTGTTCCTCATAAATCACTACTTAATTTACCTAAATCCAAACCGATAATACCTTTATGGTTTATAATCATACAACTGGATACATAAGTAAATGGACATATTCTTGTTTGATAAAGTCACGCCTAAAGGCTTATTCGTTCGTTTAGGATATAATTCTTGTTAGTCAAGTTCAGGTTTTGTTTTTACTGTTCTACCGTCGAAAAATACGTCTCAGAACATATGTTGTCAATAAACAAGTCGATTGTTGGCCAGAACGAAATGCGGCCTGCTCCTCGCGAGTCAGTCTTTCTCGTATTTTGAACAATGTTGGAAGCGTGAAGGAAGCCAATGGTCTGGACGCAATGGGAAGTAGACTTATTCTCCTTTGTTTGTTGAATAAATGATGTGAGCTACATAAAATATAGGGACAACGATCGACTCATCCCACGATGTTGGAATGCTCTCTAATTGCCAGACGTTTGATAAGTCTCAATAAAACGGTTCCCAGTGGAGGAAGATATTTGTCACTTCTGTGACCTTGTCTGATGCTTGAGATTCATTCGATTTCATAGCCAATTAGTTGTATACATCAACCCTTACCAGCAGATCGAGATTATTTCTCGTATTTATGTGTTTCAGCACATACATGTAAACTGATAGATGGAATGAGTTGTGGTACAATTAGTCACATGCTTTTTGAGTATTCTATAAAACATAGACCTAGAACTTTTGATGTTGATGAGTCCTACCATAAGACCATATGAGTTACCTCTTAATGGTGTAGTAATATAGACTCGCTTCTTGGATGCCGAGAACTTAGTAGTTCTTATTACATCTTTGCTCTACCAACGCTTTATAAACTCAAGTTAGTAACTCTCATTCATCAGTGCTCTAGTAAAGACATTTACTTGTCTCTCTCAACTGCATCGCTAGTGGAAATTCGATAGATCCTTCTGAATAAGCTCCTAGTTAATCCACGTTTGTACTGGATTGAACATTGATTATAAAAATTTAGATTCTATATACAGTTAATACAATACAGAATGATTTCTTATTGCGTTATACTTCGTATGTCCACAATTTTCATTCAGTTATTACATTTGTATTCACTTGACTACTTCCAAATTGTTAAGTAGTATATTCAATAGTTTTTCATTCATCACTATTGGCTCAGATTTCCAAAGCATCCATTATTTCACATTTCATATTGAATAATCCTACTTGACCACTTTTTCTACGTGAAATTAATCTGATAATTCTCTACATCACACTTAAACTATGATGGTTGTTAATGTTTAAAGATGATTACCAATGTAATTTTCCTAGATACATTTGTCGGTAATCGGATGTTGAAGATAGGAGACGTTGGTTGTTCTTAGTTTCTGAAATAACCAGAAGAATTTGCATAATTGAAAATTTTAACTGGCAATCGGTAACTTCTTCATTTTCTCTAGAGGACATTTGTTTCAATTTTCGAATCGATTAAGTTTGAGTTTTATATTTGTGAAGACAAAGTGTTTTTTAGAGAAACATTTAGATGAATGAATTGTATGCATCAATCTATTAAATAAATAAAAAGTTTGACCTCATTCCGATTTCAATAACGGAATCGAAATTTACATCGCTATTTATTGAAGAGTGGTAACATATTTCAGTAAATGATGTTTACGTAGTGTAAAAGTGTTAGTGACTAAATATTTCTATTCTGTGTTCCACTTATGTTTTGTCCTTTTGATTACCATTGAAGCTTATTTGAATAAATGTCTTAATGACTAACATATTAGAGAAAAAAACGGAATGTAAAATAAGAAAACATACCACTCCATGTACGGTGGTGATACCTTTTCATTCATGATTAGATGAATAGTGATTTTTGTTTGATTTGTTCTTTAAAAAAATGTTATGGGAACATAAAACTTGCAATAGGATGTGAACGAATAAATCAACTCATTTTTCTAAAGTGTAGCAAAGAGTCTGTTTTCTCCTGTTTTTCAAGGTACATAGAGACTGTAGGTATGGAAACGGAGCTTTCCTACAGCTTAGGGGATTTCATTGTACAACACCAATCGATCATCAAACCAACACACTCGTGACATCATTTATAGATTTACATGTAGTTGTGGTGAGAAGTATACAGAATCTAATGGGAGGAATATTTCCACTACGTTATTTGAACATTTTCTCAGAATATCATGTCTGGAAGGAATCAATGTCTTTACAAGTGCATCCAGTGACTACCTAATAAATAACGAATATAACTGTAGTGTCTAGTGTTATATAAGGCTCAAATGGGTTACTCTAGCTTGCGAATAGACCAATGTATTTATTTTTCATCAGTTACATCTTGACCTTATCAATTATTCGTTCAATTAATTTGACTTTTTTTAATGCGAGTGTATGTGTTTGTATCGCTTACCTTATTCATCACATTTTTAGCTTATTTTTATCTGACTACAAATACTGAGTCACGCTTGATCAAATCGGGTTGGCACGTTTGCCTTCTCTGAACTGTTTCTTCGCTTCGGTTCACTGATTGTCTTTTTTGATCAATGAGTGTATGAAATGTACGTACCCAGGATTCATCCCTTAATTTACTTATTTGATTCTGTAGTTCACTAGGGCGAATTAAGTCGATAATTACACACAAGGGTAGCAGAAATGTATATTTCGTCGACATCATCGTTCGATGAAGTTGGAGTCAGATCACAGGGCTACTAGAAATTTGTTTATTTCGAAAGCATTCGAATAAACTTATAACCAGCTAACGTCCACCTAACCGGTTTTCAATTGACTCATGATTTCAATCTGTGAAATTTCTAAAATCTTCACAAACCCTTTCTGATATATATAGCATATTTATGATGATTGTTTCTATGACATTATTTTTGTTACAGAATTATCTATATCAAAACAAATATAAAAATACTGTTCATGAAGATTTGTGGAGGGCGCTCACAGAGGTATGTCATTGATTTTATTCACTATGGAATTTATTCGTTGACCTAATAATAATATGATTGATAAATTTTGATCTCGTTGGATCACTTATGTCATTTATCTATACCGATTGAAATTTGATATTTCTTGTCAAGTTGTTTTACAACCTACTATATGTAAAAGTTGTGTTAATGATTTCCATACAATATGGCAAACTTTTCATATAACAATATACTTTATTTTCTTTCAGTATATTACCGAATAATAAAGAGAAGTATGTTTACTAAGTGTCATTATTCTTATTCACCTTAAATTAAGTCACATATACCAGTTTGATGATGATGATGATGATGATGATAATAATAATAATAATAATAATAATAATAATAATAATATTTTCTGTGTCATGTATATGGAAATTAGATTGGATGCGATAATAAAGTTTACTATCAATCGGGTGTATGTTATATTTCATTTAGATACTAACTGATTTCTATTCGGGTTAACACCTTCACCTTGTTAATTCGATTTATGCAAATCATCATTCACACTTATTATTTATACCGTAGATGTTTCTGATAAATAATTGGTGATAATTAAATTTACATCTTATTGTACTTAATCGTTTAAAAACCGAGGTTTAAAAAAAGGTGGTAGCCAAGCAGAATCACACTTGAGGTCATTGAAAATGAGTAAAGCTTACTACTACTTACTTACGCCTGTTACTCCTCGTGAAGGAGCATAGGCCGCTCACCAGCGTTCTCCATCCAACCCTGTCCTGGGCAATCCTTTCTAGCTCCGTCCAGTTGTAATTCATCCTTTTCATATCTGCTTCTATTATCCGACGCAATGTGTTTTTTGGCCTTCCTCTTTTTCGCTTCCCTTCAGGATTCCAAGTTAGGGCTTGCCTCGTGATGCAGTTTGACGATTTGCGTAATGTATGTCCTATCCATTTCCATCGTCTTTTCCTAATTTCTTCTTCAGCTGGAAGTTGGTTTGTTCTCTCCCACAGAAGGCTATTGCTGATGGTATCCGGCCAATGGATGTTGAGTATCTTGCGTAGACAGCTATTTATAAATACTTGTACTTTCTTGATTGTGGTTGTTGTAGTTCTCCAAGTTTCAGCTCCATACAGTAGAACTGCCTTGACGTTCGTATTGAAGATTCTCACTTTGATATTGGTTGAAAGTTGTTTTGAGTTCCATATGTTCTTCAATTGTAGGAATGCGACCCTTGCTTTGCCGATCCTCGCCTTTACGTCTGCATCTGAACCTCCTTGTTCATCGATGATGCTTCCCAGGTATGTGAAGGACTCTACATCTTCCAGAGTTTCGCCATCAAGAGTGATTGGATTGCTGTTCTCCGCTTTGAATTTGAGGACCTTGGTTTTCCCTTTGTGTATGCTGAGGCCTACTGATGCAGAGACTGCTGCTACACTGGCTGTCTTCATCTGCATCTGTTCGTGTGTACGTGATAGGAGGGCTAGGTCATCTGCGAAGTCCAAATCGTCTAATTGATTCTGAGCTGTCCATTGTATTCCGTGTTTTCCTTCAGATGTTGAGGTCTTCATAATCCAGTCGACCACCAGAAGAAAGAGGAAGGGAGAGAGTAAACAGCCTTGTCTGACTCCAGTCCTTACTTGGAATGCATCTGTCAGCTGTCCTCCATGCACTACTTTGCACTGTAGTCCGTCGTATGAGTTCCGGATAATATTGACAATCTTCTCAGGAACTCCGTAGTGTCGAAGAAGTTTCCATAATGTCCTCCTATCTACACTGTCGAATGCCTTTTCATAATCAATGAAGTTGATGTATAGTGATGAGTTCCACTCAACTGATTGTTCGACGATGATCCGTAGTGTTGCAATTTGGTCTGTGCACGACCGATCCTTACGGAATCCAGCTTGTTGATCTCGAAGTTGGGCGTCTACTGCATCCTTCATCCGGTTCAGCAACACTCTGTTGAAGACTTTCCCTGGTATTGACAGTAGTGTAATGCCTCTGTAGTTTTCACATTTGCTCAGATCTCCTTTCTTTGGAATCTTGACGAGGTGTCCTTCTTTCCAGTCCATCGGCACTTGTTCCTCCTCCCAAATCTTTTTGAATAGAAGGTAAGCATGCTTGTGGTTGCTTCGATGTCTGATTTCAGTGCTTCAGCTGGTATGTTGTCGGGTCCTGCTGCTTTCCCGTTCTTGATTTGTCTGACGGCCATTCTAATTTCTTCCGTCGTTGGTGGGTTGACATCTATAGGAAGATCTATGTGTGCTGCTTCGATGTCCGGTGGATTCATTGGAGCCGGCCTATTCAGGAGTTCCTCGAAGTATTCTACCCATCTGTTACGCTGTTGTTGAATTTCGGTGATTGGCTTGCCTTCTTTGTCTTTGACCGGCCTCTCTGGTTTACTGTATTTCCCTGCTAGTTTCTTCGTTGTATCGTAAAGCTGTTTCATATTTCCTTCTCTAGCAGCTTTTTCTGCCGTCGTTGCTAGTTCTTCCACGTATTTCTTCTTGTCGGCTCTAATGCTCCTCTTCACTTGTTTGTTTGCTTCTATGTATTCAGCTTGTGCTTGGACTTTCTCTGCTCGTGTTCGGCTGTTGTTAATTGCTGCCTTCTTGTTCTTCCTTTCTTTGATCTTGTCCAGTGTTTCTATAGAGATCCATTCCTTATGATGGTGTTTCTTTAGGCCCAGAACCTCTTGACACGTTGAAGTTAATGCTTCCTTGATGCCTTTCCAGTTGTCCTCCATAGTAGTTTCTTCTTCTTTCAGTAGATCTTGTAAGGCTTGGAACCTGTTGTTGAGAGCTATCTTGAATTCATTGAGTTTGTCAGTATCTCGAAGGAAGGCTGTATTGAACCTTTGTAGTGCTGTTTGTCCACTTGTCCAGTTCTTTTTAGCTTCAGTTTTAAATTGGCTACAACTAGGTGGTGATCTGAAGCTACGTCAGCACCTCTCCTGGTTCTCACATCTTCCATTGTCCTTCGGAATTTTTTGTTGATGCAAATATGATCTATTTGGTTCTCTGTAGTGTGGTCCGGTGAGATCCATGTAGCCTTGTGTATACGCTTGTGTGGAAAAAATGAGTAAAGCTGGGGAATGTAATTTACTTAAATATTTAATGTACGTGTGAATATGTAGTGGTAAGCCATAGTTCTTGAAGAACTTTCTTATGGAGATTAAACGATTATGGAATTTTTCAGGGAGGTAATGAGTGGGTATGTGATGATCATAATAAATAAAAATGAAAGCATATTGGAAATTAAGCGTAATTAAAAATCCTGATCATTTGAATGAGCGATGAGGATTGATAATCTGACCTATAAAACCAAGAAGAATTTATAAGCATGCATTGTTTAGAAATTCAAGCAGCATATTTACAACTGAAGAAAATCTGGAACTCAAAACAACTGTCAACCAGCACCAAATTCAGAATTCTCAATACAAATGTCAAGACAGTTCTCCTGTTTACGGCGGAAACCTGAAGAACTACCAAAGCCATCATACGGAAGATACAAGTGTTTATTAACAGTTGTCTAGGCAAAATACTTTGGATCCGTTGGCCAGACTCTTTCAGCAACTACCTAATATGGGAGAGAGCAAACCAGATCGCAGTGGAGGAAGAAATCAGGAAGAAGCGCTGGAAGTGGATAGGACACGGATTGAGGAAAGCACCCAACTGCGTCACAAGATAAGCCCTCACTTGGAATCCTGAAAGCCAAAGGATGATAAGAAGACCAAAGACCACATTACGTCGAGAAATGGAGACCGACATGAGAAGAATGGACAAAACTTGGACAGAAGTGGGAAGGAAGGCCGAGGACAGAGTTGGTTGGAGAATGCTGGTCGGTGGCCTATGCTCAATTGAGAGTAACAGGCGTTAGTAAGTAATTGTTGAGAAGTTAATTGTCAGATCAACAGAACTACCTAATTATCTGTGTTCTTCTGACTATTATGATTTAATGAAACACGGGAATGATCAGTTCAATATTTAAATTATCCAATGAAGTAGTTTATATGTTTCATGGTGAATGGTTTGTATCTTCAGAAATAATTTCAACTACTGATCAATATTCATTACGTAGTTAACTTGAAGTTCATTGAATATTGAAGCTACACTAGGTAGTACAGTTATTATTCGGGGTTGGGAATAAATACGTGTTTATACTAGAATTAAAGTATATAGTATATCACTTGTGCAAATTATATTTCAAGTAATCTTAGGGATTGGAATTCAAATAATTTCGTCATTTCGTTCAGCATTGTTATCTGAAATTCTTTATTGTAATAAACAAAATTGAAATTTCAATAGTTGAGATCATGAGTCAATTGAAGCTAGACCACCATGGGATACCTGGGAGCACTGAAGTGCCATTTTGTCCTATTGTGGGACTTCTCAGCAGTGCGCGTTCCTGGAGTTCCCGTGAGAAGCAGTGACCAGTGGAGCTCAACCGGATCGGTCGTGAGATAGTAACTCACTGAAGACAATAGTGAATGTGTCACTCAATTTCATGGATTAGTTGAAGTTAGACATTAACACCATTGGATGCCGGCTCAATGGTCTAGAGGTTAGGCATCCATGCGCGAGACCGATAGGTTCTGGGTTACAGTCTCGCGAGGTGGGATTGTTGGTGTGCACCGCCGAGGAGTCCCATGCTAGGACAAAACTATCTTGGAGTGCTTCCAGGTTTTCCATCGTTGTCTGGCTTCAAATGACTCATGATCTCAACCAACAAAGTTAGAATTATCAAAGAATATATAATCTTTAATTATATTGAAAACGTATTCATTTTTTATTAGAAATATTTATTTCATTTTCAGGCAGCAAGACGTGCAGGTAAAGATGTGAATGTTAAAGCCGTAATGGATACGTGGATGAAACAGATGAATTACCCATTAGTAATCATTCAAAGAAATGCTGATGGCCAATTTCAATTTGTACAAAAACACTACTTAGAACCACAGGATGCTAAATCGCCAAAAAATCCTTCACCATACAAGTAGGTTAAATAATATCATGTATTCTAACTATTGTTTTACCACTAAATGATATTTGTGTCTTTAAGGAGTAAAAGTAGTGGGAAGACTTATTCCTATTAACCCTATTTGAACTATTCTGTTATATTTTACCCGCCAGTGAATCATTACCCAGAATTTTTTTAAAAACAATCAATAACCCGATGAACAGTATTCAACTTTGTGAAACTAGTGTTTTACAGATTGATTAGTGTTTGAATGCTGTTATTCCTGTACAGCTACCCCTAGTTACACTAGTCACTAGTCACACTGGCCACCTTAATATTATTTTATGAGATGATTGGTTAATAAGTCTTGTTGCCAGGCAAAACATTGCTAAACAACACGACTCGATGAAATAGAACAAACCAAATTTCATAAGTCTGCATTTATCAATATTTACTGCTATATTCGTTTATCTTAAGATACTTTGTAAAGGTTTTTTCTTCTCCGAATCAGATTAGTTTGTATTCACAGAAACAATCATTTGTGATTCATTAGTTGCTTAGTTCGTTTATCTAAATTATGATTTATACTATTAGTCATTTTTATTATGTAGATTATGTTTATTAAATCATTAGTTATGTTAACCACAATGCATTTTCTTAGTATTACAAGTGTTATAATGAGTAATAAATCCCCAGTTTTCTATTTCAACCGATAGCAAACGATTAGAATGTAATTGTATGTTTCCAAGTGTTACCCAATTTACGCTGACTTGTTATTACATCAATAACTATAATAGTAATAATGATAATAATAATAGTGAAACACAAAGTTGTTTTAAATGTAATATTTTTACTAGTATTAAGTTGGGAGAGCAGTATTTCTAATGTTAGTGTTCACTATCTTTCTCTAATATATTAACTATTAACTTGGAGTTTTCAGATATGTCATGTGTTATCAACCATTCTTTACTACTATTAATCAATCCAACATTTAAAAACTAAGTAAAGTTTTATTACACATTGAAAAAAGTCAACGTAATTTTGTATTGAGAATTACTTGTTCTATTGAACATATATCCCTAATACATACATTGTTTATTCTGAAATTTGACAAAACCAATAGCATTCAGTAGAAAATAGTTTCAGCTTATTCATTCGCTTAATCCATATTGAAGCCTACTAAAAGCAATGTTAAAAGTGTTTTAGAGGAAGAAGTCGGATTAATAGACTTTCAGCCTGTTAGATCCGTTTAGCTGATTAAGGTATTAAATGACTGTTCAGTATCATTAATGTTTGTTTACACACGTACTAAATAAATGCGGATATCAAGAGGTTCTACTGGAAACGTTTCTTTAAATGAAATAGTTATGAATATTAGAGACAATACTTAACATATTTTCTGAATACAATTAACAATCAACTGTTTTTATACATAAATCTATATTCTTGAACCTAGAAAGTCATTCAAACTGCATAATATATTTTCAATAATATTATAAGCGAAATAGATGGTATCTATCTAAATTGAACATGTAAATTAAAACATTATTTTCTAAGGAAGGATAGCCTGCAGTGTGGTTTAAAATGATGTCAGGAACTTGAAGATTTGTTATTACAATATTTGTCTGAACATGTGACATAAGACGCAAAACAGTACTTTAAGTTTATATGTTTATATATATTGATATAGATATATCCATATTGCTGAACATAAGTACCTTCACAGAAAACTCATATGCTGTATATGATTAAGAAGTGTTAAATTTTAATTGTTCGTAGACACATTATATCTCTGTAGTAGTTTCAGTAAGTGAATGGTATTTTTCAATTCTGATAATCGTATCAGGTGTACAGGTGACCCTTTAATAGTAGAATAATTAAATTTGTTTAAAATTACATATGGTTTTATTGCACAATAAGTAGTAACACTTCTAAATATCACAAGAACACAGGGATCGTTTGTTTTATGTTTACTTTGATATAATTAATGAATCTACTCATGTATAGAAAACTATGAACAAAGCTTTCCTAATTCAAACAAGCAATACATGTTACCTATCTAAATAAATGAAGTACAATAATATGTCATATGATTGTGTTGTAAACTAGTTTTATTGCATTTCTTCATTAGAATGATTTAAAAGTTTTAAATCATTTCTTATACTGTTCTAATTTAAATTATATTGGATGTTTAGAATCGATGGATTATGGCTAGAATTGAAATCTAGCATGCAACCTTCGTCCTATTTGGGATTCGTCAGCTAGATTCCATTTCTAGCCTAATCTGTTTATTTTAAATAACTTTTGACATAATGGCTATATCAACGAAACTTTTTACACGATGCACATATGTTAGCAAAGATGAATAAGAATTTATAGTCGGGATAATTCAAACCTTTACTAATGATATATGGATAGTATACGTATGTACGTACACGAGTATCATGAAATAAATTACACGTAATGATCTAAAGACTATCGAATGCCTGAAACGAAGTCTGAAGTCATGTTTATAGTCAATATACTTTAATATTCAGTACTATTAACCTGATTTAATAGCCTGCAAGTGGTTAATTGAGTAATTTTTGGAGTAAAACTTATCATGAATACAAAACATTTTTATCGTTTACTTTAGTGGTTTTGTAGTGATCAAAGGCCCAGGTGAGAAAGATCAATTTATGATTCAATAGAAAATTACAAAATATCTTGGTAAAATATGAAAATCATGCATCAACTACATGATTTACACATCTTCCTTCAGTTGTCCTTTACATGCTTTATGAATATTTCAATTCTGTTGTTATTATAACTACTTTCTTTTTCCTCTTCTGTTTTCTTCAAATGAATCTACCCACTGTTCTGCTAGCATGCATTCCACTTCCGATTGGTGCTACGTGCTACTTATATACATAAATAGTATACACCACAGTTTAATCCATCTATCTATACAGCTATTAAGCACTCATAGTAATGATTTAGATAAAAAGTACTTATGTAAAATTAAGTTAAATTAATTGATCACTTTACTTTTAGCTTTACTTGGAAAATACCATTGACTTATGGATCAGCAAAGACTATTAACTGGGATGAAACAGATGTCATTTGGATGATGAACAGCAAGTCATTGTTTTCTTTACCTCGTTTTTGTATATATTTACTTGTTATAAGTACCAAGTGATAATTGTACTGTAGTAATATATACTAATGAATTAAATATGGGTAGGTGGAATAACCTAGGAAGTGAAGTATTGTAAATTAGATGATTGGAAATATCAATCATAGTAATATAATGAATGTTTCTAGAATCTTGATCATGAATCATAACTATGAAAAATAGTTAGTTCACGGAAGCTATGTACATAAGTGGTCAAATTGACACTGAATATTAAATTAATTTAAGCCATAAATGAACGTTAAGTTGATTTAGTTAATATCATGTAATACAAAGTTATTTTTTATAACGCTTATTTGACTATAGTAGAATTGTAAATCAAATAATGTTTGTAGTATCCCAATGAGTAGAACTAAAATAGATTTTTCGACGTTTCGTGACATAGTGTAAGTCACTTCTTCAGAGAATAAATAAATAGTAAAATTGTATCACTTGTAAACCAGTTAAATATATTGTTAATGTGAGTGATGTTCCCAATTTCTTTTTAACATAAAGAAAGTATTTACTCAAAACAATCAATAGTGATAACTAAGTAAGATGTCTTAACTAGATATTATGATTGAACTACTTCAGTTAAAAGACTTTTTGAGTATAGTAACACTTTATATTAAACATCCCCAACATTAACGATCTGAATTGATTTTATATAACAAACAATTCTTGATTCACATGTTACAATTTTAAATGATGTACACTGCCCTAAACTTGGCCAATTTTATGGACTATTAATTTGGATTCATAATTGTAGAACCTGATGAGAAATTATTGAAGAGAATATTCTTCGTTCATATAATATAATGGGAATTTTTCAGCGTTTTGTTGAAAAATCATCAGAAATGAAAGAGGTGGGAGGAACATTCTTAGTAGTCGTGTGTTTATTAATACAATCAGTCAGTCAATCAACAACAATTTAGAACTTTGTACGTACGTACATCAGTTCAAATTACCGTAACATATTAGCACAGAGATATAATTGTCGATTTAAATCCCATAGTGGTAGAGGTAGTAAAGGTACAAGCAGTAATCGGAAAGATTAGGGTTTGAAGATGTTATTCAAAGAGTATAATCCGATAAAATAAATTTGGAAAGAGAAGAAAAGAGACAAGGAGGATCCAGGAGATTATAATTTGGGAGAACACAAAGAGTGGATGCACCTGCGCCATCGCAAACGATTCTGAGCCATGTTATTCAAGGTCTCTAACCATCAGTTGCTATCGTCTCGCGGACCCTAACCAGGTAGTCTACATATACCAACATGACTCAGTCCACTTGTCAGTGGCTTCATGGATTTGTGCCATGTTTTGGTCTGGCCGCCCCTGACTTTCTTCCATCCTACTCCTACACCATAAAAGATCGCACGTCGGGGCAGTCGGTGGTTGGGCATAAGTAACACGTGTTCCAGCCATCTCAACTGATGAAGTTCCACTACTTCATAAATTGATTTGAAATCCTTAACTAGTTAGTACCCATTTCCTAACAACCACATTACTTACTCGGTGGTCCCAGGATATACGAGCAATGTTTCGAAAACACCTATGATCGAATACTATTAACCTACGAATATCGTCTTCTCTTACTGGCTATGTTTCACTGCCATTAGTTTAGGTGCCGATGAAACCCAATCATGAAGCAACATTTTGCATTTCGAGGGTGAGAATTGCATCCCGAACATGCTTGCATTTTTGCTTACGGTGGTCAGAAGACTGTATTTTGTCAGCATGTTCGCAAAATACCATGGAGCCCAGGATCGTAAGGTTTCATAGCGAGAGCATTTACTTAGTGAAATTCATCGAATTTAATAGTGAAACATATATGTCTCATGCAGTTGAATAGCAGGCATATAATGTTTTGATTGGTTGAAAGTGAAAATGTGAACTGATAGATTTCACCTCAATGGTCTACAGATTTCTTAATGAGGCTGAGATTTAAAAGTTCTCGGCTTTCCATCATATACTGTGATGGGCACTAAGTGCTGAGAAAATTGGGACTAGGATAAAATATCCATGAAGTCTTCTGTTGTTTGAAATAGCTCTCAGATTATGTTGATTTATTTTAGTATATATAATTGAACGTTAAACCTTCCTAGACTTGGATCATGTTAAATTATTTATTTGGTTTTCCATACACTGATGATAATACATTAACCTCTTTTCCTTCTTATGCGATGATGTTCACTTAGGAACATATACATTCAGCAATTTCATAGCATTTCCACAAATATTTACTTTAATTTCAACAGAGACAATGACCCAAACATTAGATGTTGCAGAAAATTCTTGGTATTTATTCAACATTAAACAAGCTGGATTTTATCGTGTTCACTATGCCGACAATAACTGGGAACTATTGACAGAACAGTTGTATAAAGATCACCGTGTAAGTAGTAACCGTTATTTGAAAAATTCTTAAGATTAATCACCTTCAAAGTCTGTATAAAGATAATTACTTTGATAAACTAGCTTATGATTGTGAAGTATCTGTTAACAGTTTATCCAATTGAACTCGTATAGACGTCACAATAATTATAATGATTTAGACTTAATAACATTTTATTTATAGCAAAGTAATATTTGAAATCGTTTTAGCCACATAGTGAACAATCATTTTTATTTTTATTGAGATCTTGAATCGACCAAAGTTAGACCATCATTGAAAACTTGAAAACACTGGACTACCGTTTCTTCCTAGTATTGGACTCCTTAGTAGTCCACATGTACGATCCCGCACGTGAGACCCGAACCCGTAATCTTCGTTCTCGAGGGAATCCTTGAACTCTAGACTACCAAGCTGACATCCAACGGTGTTAATATCTAACTTGAACCAATCCACAGTAACATCGACCGAATCATGGTCACAATAAAAATTTAACAATCTCCACAACTTTACTGATAATCACTTTGTATTTACTAAATAAAAAAATTAATTGATTCGATATTTTCTGTGATTAGGCTATTCCACTTCATTCACGAACACAAATTTTGGATGACTTATTCAACTTAGCAAAGTAAGTGTACTTACCTATATTGATTGTTTGACATAATATCATATGGTATGCATTCGATTGAAATTAAAATTTTATTACTTACATATTTAAATGAACAGCTTCTTGTTACACGATCTTTGAAGGTATAAATCTATAAAACGTTTTATTGTGTTGGCCAGGAACTTCATATTAAATACATTAAAAGTATAATTGAATTGAATATATGCGTGGATAAGTTAAGTGGTTTCCGAATTCAAAAGATGTGAAATATAAATAACAGATAATACTAACACAAGGAATGTTTGAGAATATATTTTCAGCAACCTTCTCTGTAACCAAATATTGTATTGCATTTGTCGTTATTAACCTAACAATAAGTTTCAACTGAATTAATATGATACATTGAAAACAATAGATATCTACCACGAATCCCTACAAGATCACTTTCCATAATAATATTTCAGAGAAATTCTATAAGGTGATGATTCAAACAATATGATCATGATACAAAAATGGAAAAAGTCTATCGGAGCTGTTTTGATAATAACAATAATTGTATAATGTTAAATCAAAAGTTTTCATCAGAAGGAACAGCTAGGATTAATATAAAATAATGAGTTCGTATCACTCAAGTGAACCAAAGAGTTTAGACTAGGGATACTTTTACGGTGAGAAAAGTACCTAAAAAATAAGAGGTGTGAAAGTGTGACAGTTTTCAGACTTACAAGGAAGATTTCTTCGAGTTTATTCTCATCTTCTTCAAATACTGTTGCATATAAAAGGCTTTATCGTCTCTTCTTAGATAAACTATTAGTAACTTGATTTTAAATGCATAATGCTTTATGATGTTTACTGTTTAATGAACGAGAAGTGATGAAGGCTATATTTGTTGAACTATTATGAGTATAATGATAACAAGGTTAAGTAAATTTACTAAATTCTATTTGTGCATTGTTGACTGACTTGCACATCATTTATAAATGTCCACTGACCGTTTGTGTTTCCAATATAGTGACCGAAAACAATTCTTTTGTTTATTTATCACTATCGTGCAATTTATCCACTGTGAATCAGATTGTTGCTACCTTGTACAACCTTGTTACAAACCACAATTTTCATCATAAAACTAACAGCTAACACTTATCAGCGTTGGATGGTTCTTCCGATTCAATAATGTAAAAATACTTTTTAATGTTTTAAAATGAAGATTTTATATTGTTAACAACTTCTGTAAAAGTTGGAAGTTATTAAATATTTAAAGTCGTGCTACTGTTTCATACGACGTCTACTTAAATCTGACAAAATATTTGAAAAAAGAAGATCAGTATGTTGTATGGGAAACGACTCGACGAGCACTATCTTATTTAGACCGTATGCTTGCCATGGACGAGAGTTATGGAGCTTTTCAAGCATATTTGCGTACGCTTGTAGATGATCCTATTAAATCAGTCGACTGGACAACAATGAAAGAAGATAAACATCATATGAAGCAGTAGGTTACGTAAATGTTTTTAAACTGTGTTCTGTATCCATTTCATTAGATGATAACCAGCAAGAGTCTATGAAAATATGTTGCCTAGTGCAAACGAATATTATTTATTCCGATTTAGTGGAGTATGTTGGATACAGAATCCATAGAATGAGAGAAGCTGGTGAGACAAGATTTTATGGACAGCCTTATAACGACTCTAAAATGACCTTGGAATGTCTACTTACTTACTTGGGTTAAATAAGTCTTATACATTAGTGTGAGGAATTAGGATTAGGATTTACATTTAGATGTTCTCGTTAGGAATTCGACTTAATCTTTTCATCACTAACCGACATGAGCTATAATACCAAACTCGTACAAAGCCAAATGAGCGAATGAACTTCGCGCCAAAATCTCACATATGTTATCTTAAATCTGGTTCATCCATCTATTATAGTCTCGCCGGACAAATAACCATGTTATCACTATTATCATATTAAACATATTCGTTCACTGTTCATAATTCTGACATGGAGTTACCTTCAATAACGTACGGGGTGTTTTTATATCGATATGTAATCATATTTATACTTGACTGTATACTTTCCCATTTGTATTTAAACACTATTCTGTGTGATGATACTGGTTTTATGATTTGATTCGTCTCATGAACAAAACAATGTAAGTTTACTTATTTGTCTCTCAATGAATGAAGTATTTCTTTAGGGCTAAATATCTTAGGATATATTTGGAAAAGAGGATGTTAAAGAAACTTGTCAGGTTTGCAATCTTAGCTTGCTCATTATCAATTGTACAAGCCTGACCCAATAAAAATGGTTGAGATAAAATATTCAGCTCATTCTGAAGGTAGACAGCCTATATTGTAAAATTAATTCTATGGCAATCTCGTACAAGCTTTTCAAGGAAATATAATCTAACATCAAAATTATCGAACATGGTCATGCCAGTTGTACATTTGGTTCTGTGATTAACTGTATACTAATGAGGTCATCCGATCAACGTTATACAACCTTATGAGTAGGTATTCGCGTTAGTGTGTAAGAGACATGTGATGTGAGATGAAAAGTGTGTCAAGATAACACATTGTGTGTATTCGTAAGTGGTGTGAGAAGAAATTTCACTCAATATTTACCGCCTCTGATCGGTGAAATTTGAGAACACATACAATTTTCCTATATTATATGAATCCAATAAGTTACATCATTCATAAAATGAAGATAAATAAACAAAATAAAGGGATGAGTGTTTATGTTAGTTTTATTATTCCAGTTAATTGTTTATTATATTCAGATTAGACAACTGATTAGAACAATTGAATGTAACTATTGTTGAAACTTCATTTATTTCATCGGTTGTGCTTGTTTTTTATTTAAGTATGTTGCGCCTGACATTAACTCGTCTAGCATGTCAAGCTGAACATCATTCATGCGTTAAAATGGCTACAGAATATTACAGAAATTGGATGCTTAATCCTTCACAAAATTTGTAAGTTACCTGTTGAACTGCTATGATTTTGAAATAATTACTAAGTGAAATTTAGAAAAATTACATTCTTAGACATGTCCTGCTTTGGATCTATTAAATGCAAGGTATTGGTGACCAACAAGTTGTATATCATTCACTTGTATTGACTGGTCCATATCTATGGAATTTGTATATCAGTTGTTAACTTGTGGATTGCTTCAAATAACTTAATTATTTTGTTTAGTTTTATTTCCGCGTTGAACGAATAAAGTTCTTTTTATAATAAAATTTGTGATATTATTTACTCTACATGTAGTACTATCCATTATCCTCTAATTTTTCATCCGTTTTATGTTTAAGGATCCCACCAAGTTTGAGGCCAGCTGTTTATTGCACAGCAATTAGAATCGGTGGACAAAAAGAATGGGAGTTCCTAAAACAACGTTTATTAGAAGTGGATATCAAAGAGGATGAGAAAAATAGTATTTTGCAAGCATTGTCTTGTTCTCGTGATATGTGGATAGTAAGACTGTGAGTTATACTACATTTCATTTGTTGTTGCTTTCGATTGTCAGCTTCCAATAAATTAAATAAATGGTTCCTGTTTTAGTACAATATATGTAAACATATATGAGTCAATAAAATACATGGATTTTTTCGTGATATATTGACTGTCTAATACATATTTCGTGCTGTTGTATCTATATGATCGTTAAACTATCAGTAATTTCAACATATGTATCTCTCAATATCGTTTGATCATTCATAGTTTTGTGTTTATGTAATTTAACTCATCAGTTTTAGTAATCGCTGTTTTTTTCAGGTGCTTTGATAGTTCGTAGGAAGACGCTTTCATTATATGAGGTTTAGTGTTTTATGAGTAATCAATTGATTAATGTTAGCTTTCTGTCATCAGACCACTCAGTCAGCATTTAGTAATCCAGCTAACGTGTTTGCTTATAATATTAAAATTTATATATTTTACCGATATGGGGTAATATGAGTTAAAATTACATGTAATGAGGCAAACTAATATTTAAAGAATGTTTAATGTATGATCATATTGAAAAAGCAACGCCGTAACAATAACCACTAGTTATGAGATATGTCCTTTCATTTAGCCGAACAAAGTTTGGAGTTCAAATAACTGTGGTTAATCTCAATCTCACACGACATTTATCGACAAAGCGAGCAAAATTTGAATACCAGTATAGGATTGTGGAGATTGTTGAGTATTGTTTAATTGACATCATGAACTGATCAATGTTAGGCCACCATTGAATACATGGAAGTACTGGACGTGCGTTTCGTCCAAGTTTGTAACTCCTCAGCAGTTCACTGTCCAGTTCGTCGAAGCTTTCAATGGTTGTTTAATATTGATCAGTTCATGCTCCAAATTAAAAAAATTTGAATAACCATTTTGCTAAAATAATAATAAAATATTTGTATCTCTTTCAAATATTCGATTACCTACTTCGTTTAGTATCTATTACCTGAATAATTCAAAATTAAATACAAATAAATACTTTTGTTGAAATCGACTATTACTTTTCATGTTATCGATAATTTAGACATTTGGAATGGGTCATAAAAAATAATCAAAAGGATCCTCAGGATTTATTGGATGCACTTTCATCTGTGGCAATGTATCCTATCGGCCAGACACTTCTATGGGAACATATTCGTGAAGCGTGGAGATTTATAATGAATGAGTAAGAATTATTGTAGATTAATGAATGTTCTTTAATATTTTAAATGAAAATCATTTCACCTACTTCATTAGTAATAACAGTATTAGTTTAACTATTCTGCGGAAAGATGATGTACGTTCTCAGAATTATGTGATATATTTGCACAACACATTTTGAGCACAAAACGGTGGCTTCAGTTTTCGTATAGTTATCACTTCGATAAACCTTAGTATATTCTCTTGAACACTTCTGGACAACAGTACAAAAGCTGACTTGATATTGAACGTTTGATAAGTCTCAATAAAACGGTTCCCAGTGGAGGAAGATATTTGTCACTTCTGTGACCTTGTCTGATGCTTGGGATTCATTCGATTTCATAGCCAATTAGTTGTATACATCAACCCTTACCAGCAGATCGAGATTATTTCTCGTATTTATGTGTTTCAGCACATACATGTAAACTGATAGATGGAATGAGTTGTGGTACAATTAGTCACATGCTTTTTGAGTATTTTATAAAACATAGACCTAGAACTTTTGATGTTGATGAGTCCTACCATAAGACCATATGAGTTACCTCTTAATGGTGTAGTAATATAGACTCGCTTCTTGGATGCCGAGAACTTAGTAGTTCTTATTACATCTTTGCTCTACCAACGCTTTATAAACTCAAGTTAGTAACTCTCATTCATCAGTGCTTCAGTAAAGACATTTACTTTTCTCTCTCAACTGCATCGTTAGTGCAAATTCGATAGATCCTTCTGAATAAGCTCCTAGTTAATCCACGTTTGTACTGGATTGAACATTGATTATAAAAAGTTAGATTCTATATACAGTTAATACAATTTCATGATACACGTAAAACTAAATAAATGTAACTGCAGATTTAGATCATTTGTCCCATAGAGAATAACTCAGATATGGTTTCGCAACGTTCTACTGAGAAGCTGTACTAGGTGGATTTCAGTCACATCACGAGTGAAGCAAATATTACCAATGAAATTGGATGATTTCCAGCCAAACATCGAAAATGAAGTGAAATTAATTTGCAGACCATAACTTCACACTCAGTAGTCTGAAAGTATAGTGTTTACCAAGACATCTAAAACATTTGTGTTAGATATTATCCAGAGTTGTTCCTGTGTAGTTCTGAATAATCCCAAACAAGCAAGAAGCAAGTGTTTAATGCCTTCATTATTTTGATAGTCATCGTCTAGACCGTGAAAAGTCTAATTCCTGTTAGTCGAATGTTTTCAAAGTCCAAGTAATTTGCAGCTAATACATCGTTATTTCTCAAGAGAAAATGTATGGGTAAACCTAGCTTAAGATGATTGGTCAACCTTATTATCTCAGAAATAGAAAATAATTATGGTAAATGTGAGATTTACTCATTTAGAAATTTTCAATGTAAGACAAATCAAAATGTCATTAACATTTTCAATTGTTTTCAGAGAGAAAAACGCAACTCGCCCAACTGTTAAAGCGTAAGTTTCATTGCTTACCTCAGTTACAGAATGCTTTCTTATTGCGTTATACTTCGCATGTCCACAATTTTCATTCAGTTATTACCTTTGTATTCAGTTGACTACTTCCAAATTGTTAGGTAGTATATTCAATAGTTTCTGAAATAACCAGAAAAATTTGCGAAATTCAAAATTTTATTTTGTTGTTTATGATTCACAATCCATTTTGTTCTACTGAAGCCTTTCGAATGTGCAATAAACTTTAACAGGCAAGGTTGAATTTTAAATTTGTTAAGACAAAGTGTTTTGTAGAGAAACATTTAGATGAATGAATTGTATCCATCAGTCTATTAAAGTAATTCAAGTTTAACCTCATTCCGATTTCAATAACGAAATCGAAATTTACATCGCTATTTATTGAAGAGTGGTAACATATTTCAGTAAATGATGTTTACGCAGTGTAAAAATGTTAGTGACTAAATATTTCTATTCTGTGTTTCACTTATGTTTTACTAGATTTATGTTTCTGTGATCATCGATTTAGTAAAAGTTTTGCTGCAGTGTCACAAAATGTATTGCATCATCTCGTCTCATTTGAATGAACGAGGCACGGTCAATAAATTCTTTATATGCCCACTATATTGCATTGTGACATAAAATAAGATTGGTCTTTTTAAAGTTAGTATTTGCATTCAGCCCAAACATAATGGAGATGCTTGAGAAGATGTGTGACGAAACTCAATCAATATTATCAGACACGATGCATATATTCATAATTTAATATCATAGTGGTAATTTATACCAGACGCATAACTCAAACATCAACTACAGTAAACGCATAATTATATCTTTTTCTTACCATGTGGCCACGTAACAGCATTTGATCTATCTGAACGTCTACTAACATCTGATTGGTTAGGTCAACCTAACATACCGTCTCTACCTTCAGAAAAGAGAGATTTTCGTTCATGTCAGTTAAGATGTGGAGACATAATCAGATTGTCATGTCGTCATGTGTTGACATTTCGATTTTTCTAAGCATAATGTTAAATTCGCTCGCTGTTCTACTTCACATTTTTTCCATACTAAACAATAAGCATTAATACCTTAGAAATATGTGGAGTCGGCACACCTCACATCTTCTATGTTGTCTGATATGTTTAAAATATTGCTCAGCATTTTCATTACTTTCATTTGAGTGATAAATATTGATTTTTAAGACAGACTCCTATCTCTCCATTAGACGAAACAGACTAGAGGTTGACTTCCTAACAATTTTTACAAAATCACATTCGATTTCTAGTTACTGACAATGCACTAAAGGGGTCTAACTGTTTGTGGAATAAAAACTTAAATTTAATTACACGTAATATAGATAGTCAATAAAATTAAGACTAGTTTGTACTACTCCATCTTATTTAGCGCTTCATCTGATGATCTCAATGACATTTGCAAGTATCACCAAACCGCAAACTTTGGGCGTAATAATGAGTAAGTAATACAATTGGTTTGCACAAAAACACTTAAAATTATTCCTTCCATCAACATTTGTTTCATCTTTGGACTGTCCAGTTTACCTTCGTAGATAATATCACATTAAAATTAATGATTACATTGGGTCTAATGAGAATTTGGCAATAAATCTTATTCGTTACATTAGAATCGTAATGAGAAAGTAATTAACATTATATCCATTGCATTACCAATAAAAGTTATTGATTTGCAATAATCGAATCTCCAGTTCCTTCATATCGGTATTCTGTTTCACTTTCATACATGTATGGAGTTAACACGCTGACACAAGTATAGATAAACACAGCATGGTTAACTCAAATGGCTTTTTCTGTACACAGTAAAATAGAAGTACCTAATAAAGTTAAAAATAGAAGAGTGGAAAGTGACATTTTGCTTAGTGAATTTAACTATCGAATTCATAATATATTTTCTAATGTCAACGAAGAACTAATATTCAATATGAAAGGGATATAGGCATTAGGATTTTGCTGACACATTTTGAATCCATAGGGTGTATAATAAGTATTTATGATTAGCATAGATCATGGTCTATTTGGAACAGAAGGAAACCTAAGTAGTGACTGCATTCTGTCAGTAATATAGGGAACAAGGTTTGCCATATTCTCGAATTTCCATCATCCAAATACTGTTTTTCTGTCACACTATTTCATATATCTTGGTAGGTAGTATTGGTTCTACAATACAAATATATTAGGTAGAATAACTTTGATATATATTTCGGAGTTCGTCCGCTTTTACCAGCAAGCAAAGTTTGGATATGATATATATATGTATATACTCGAGCAAACCAATTCTTTCAGTTCCGCATTGTTCAAGTAGTTTATGTATGATTTCAATTCAGCAATTACTTGCTTACTATCGCTTGTTATCTCTCGTTGAAGAGCATAGGATACTCACCAGGATTCTACATACAACTGTGACCTTGGTCATCCTTTCCAATTGTTCACAATTGCTATTCATTCTTTTGATGTCTGCCACATTTTCACTTAGCAATAATCCAGTTAAACATACTTGTTTATATTTAATTAAATTATTATGTTTTTGTGATTATGAATATACTTCAGCCTCATTCACAGTTTACATCAAACAACGTGTACAGTTACTGAACTAAAAGTTGTTGAGTTACTTGTTTGAAAATTTCATTATGAACAACTGACTATTTACCATGTAGATGGAAAATACATTGACATGGTTTGTTTTGACATGAACGGAAGAAGAGTTTTATGGAGTTAGTAATACTAGTCATTTCACCACCTGTTAGTTCAAGAATGTTTTCCAGATTGTATGGGGTTGTGATTCAGGAGAATTCATTTCTAGCATTCAATCATCTTTTTATGTTTTTGTTGGTAAAACAACATCCATTAATATAGGCAATTCAGTTTAGTCAACTCCTGTTCGAATTGTTCATTGTTTCATGAAATCCAAATTATTAAATACTTTAGGTTATAATTCATAAAACTAAACTATCAACGCGATATGATAGTGTTGACAGAATGGATAGAACATCAGGTAAGTGATTCTGCAGTCAATGGAAAATGTATCTAGATATGAATTACGTTTATTTGTTCTATTTTACAGGTGTGTACTAACTGTAATCCTAAAATACTATCCAAACGTCATTATACACTAAATAACATACCGGATCAAGAAGAAGTTAGTTCAATATTTTCTTAAATTCTTATTAATTTTATAAGTTTAGTCACTAAGTATATGATGTTGAATGTTTTGAAGTGAAGGTTGTTTTTCTGTATAACACTCAATCAATAGCTATCACTGTTGTATATGAACAAGTTGAACATATAGACCGGTATAATCTTGAACTAGTTTAAGCAGGTACATTACTATAGCGTACACTGCAAAAAATAGTAAAAGACAGTCAACACCGATAAACCTTCAAAAATCTGTTTAATTGAGAAATTGAAAATATTGACGTTGTTTCAGTGGTGCCAATAAACCCTTAACAATTGGCTTAAGTACTAATCACTAGACATTAAGATTTTAGTGCACTTTTGGAGACAATCACATCGTTCTATCTAAACAAAAGTTATTTCTAGATTGATGACATTTTTCGATTTATATATAGACGGAATATATTGGTGTTTTGGATGTCTTTACACAGGAATAAATTTATATTTATGACGAGCAAGTTGTGCAGCTTACTTGGATGAGCTGAGTGATGTGATTTCGTTGAGGTTGATAATTTAGTAGTGTTTTCATTATCATTATGTACACTGTCAGCCACATAAACTTTATTTGATGTGATAAGATATTACAAATCCAGCAAAGAGGTTTTGTAACCACATTTTCTGACGGTTTATTAGTTGGTGGATTTATCATTTCAAAGATTCCACTCAAGATGTATGCTTCATATCTTGGACCAACAGCAATCCAATTCACAGATTGAGGTGTTTTCACAACATCCACCCGAACTGATTACTATCATACAGGTCGACCTCATTTATTTGGTAGTTATGAAGTTTTTGTTTTTCGAATTAATGAACACAAATGGCTGGCTTTTAATTCACTAGGTACTTGCCATGCAAAATTCTGAACAAAAACTACTTGAAAATCATGTTCTAAAACGTGGATTAAATGATTTGTTTAAAAGGTCGAAGGAAAACATGAAATGAACAAAAACGCATCGTGATGTTATCAGTAATTGGTTAAATAAAAATGTTCCCAATACAATCACGTTACTTTGAATGCATTTCTTCCAGACTAATCAACAATTTCACTATTAGACAGTTTTATTCTGTTGAATTAATTGATTACTGGTTTGTCGATTCACAGATCTATCAATCGATGTGTTTATCAATTCATCTGTACTTGTGTCTTTGTAACAAAATACTCATTTTTCTCGTTTCTATCTTATTCAATGTTGCGTATTCATATTTCGGTTTTCATGTGGTCTTATTATTAATATTATTATATTATTTTGAATGTTCTAATATCCATTCGTCACTGAAACGTATATACATGTGTACAATGATTCGATCGTACATATATTCATCCTACTATTATTGGCAATACACATTTTTCTTTATTACAGATGGACGAGAATATGTTTTATAGTGCAAAGATGATATAAAAATGGATATACAAGCTCAGTTACTTTATGAATAATTGCTATTATTGTTCCTATTATCGTTATTAGTATTGTTATTATTATTATTATTATTGTTATTGTCATTAATACTACTATTAATTATGATAGCTATTAACCAGAATGCATGCTTATCTGTAAAGGTACATTTGTTTAATTTTTATGATCTGATAAAATTCTTGAGCGCTGACCTAGTGTGTAACTGGTACTTATACTCCATAAAAGTGATAAGATTGTTTGTCTTCAAGTGTTTGTTCATCAAGATTTTGAAACTTAAATAATGTAATTTACATCCTCTTAGTTAGAGAAATCCTTTGGAGTTTTAGCGACAAACGTCCAAGAAATTTCAATTATGGCATATTCAACTGCGATTTGCTCTACCCAACAATCTGTGAATCCACGTTGAATTTAGCAGTTGTTTGATCCCTTCCGAATTGTCCTCCATCGCAGTTTTTCTTCTTTCAGTAGATCGTTCTATGCCTCAAACCTGTTGTTGAGAGTTAACTTGAATTTGCTCGGCATGTCAGTATGTCGAAAGAATGTGTGTTTTGAGATCACAGAAAAACCTGATTTCATAGAAAGCATTTAACAGTTCGAGACAATTTCACGCTTACAGACCGTGATCTAAACTTATAAGAATAAGTTCAACGAAATGAATCTTGTCTAGTGAACTGTTGACCTTTAAACAGTGTTAAGTTACATGACAGTGGTCATATGCAATGTTTGACATGATTGCTTGACTTTTATTGTTTCTTTTCAAAGCATTTGTGAATGCTGGTCATTGTTCTCCTAAACACTCTACACTTCTTTATTCGGTTTACGACCGTTTTACAGCACGAGGACTATTAAGCCGATTTTGTGATTATTCGTCTATTTTCTTTGATTTTTCATCAAGTTTTGTTACTGTGAAAATATCAATATCAACACATATTGAAAATATTTCCGTGTGTCCAAACTGAATAAATGTGTGTTCTATTTGACAAATAAGTTGCATCGAACTTCGTTACCACTTTGACAAGAAACACTTGTTCTGTGGTTACACTGATATAAATTTCTGATGATTAGTGTTTGGTGTTTTCATTTGCTCCATAGAGTTGTTCAGAGTAATATTATGAGAATGTAAATGTACAAATCGTTGATTACGTTTGACATAATCAGTGAGTTTATCATGCTTATTCTTCTGAATGATGCGGGTTTAATATGTGACCAGGGCTTTTGTGAACAACATTTTGAGTAACATTTTCACTAGTATGAAGTGTTAACTTGAAACGGTTTATAAGCAAAATGAAATTGTGAGATAAATTATCAGAATAAATATGGTCAACATGGGGTGAGAGAGAGAGAGAGAATATTGTGATTACAAATCGGAAATTGCGTAATATGTAAAATAATCAGGTCAAATATAGTAGGTTCAGGGGTGGATATTAAATAAATTCCTCAAAAAGGGTTTATCAAGTGTAAAGACAATAATAGTAATAATAATAATAATAATAAGTTTGGGACATAAAATGAACATTAATCAGATTATGTCACCACATTATAAGATTGATTATTAGCTAGTTGGCCAGGGTAAAAGGAGAGGCTGAACATACTTCTTTTGGATACAAAGCTCTGGCTTTTTGATCCGAATAGCAATTGCTTCAGCCGTCTGTAGGATTCGCAGTCTGACGGAATTAGGTAGACTGCTGTTGACACGATAGATTATTGCAAAAGATTGCTCCATGTTGGCTGTATGTCCTGTTTGGACTAAATGGTCTAAGATGGAGCTGTTAACAGTTTTGACAACACCTTTGCTTAACCACACGGGTAGGTGCTCACGAGCCCGAATGTACAAATTCCTAGAACATCTACCGATATAACTTGCTCCACAGGAGCAGTTGAATTGATAGATACAGAAGGAGGTGGCTAGTCTAGGTAATTTATCTTTCAACCTCGGAGTGATTATTGGTCGTGTGGAGAATACTAGTTGTAGTTTGGCTGCGTTGAAAGTCCTTTGAATTGATCTACTTAACTTAAGTCTTAACATTTCACTCGGCGCGTCTCCTCTGAATTGTAAGCGTATATATAGAGGCTTTCTATTTACTGTTGGACATTCTCTACGCTGTCTTTTATTGGCTAAGTTTTTATTTATAAATTTCTCTGGATATCCATTTTCTTTCAGGGTTGTAAACAATCTCTTTGTTTCATCTTCAATCGTATCCACAGTGCATATAGTCTTGATTCTATGATGTAGTGTCTTGATAAGGTTCCTTTTTTGTTGTAGAGGAACGAAACTGAAAAAGTTAGTATATTGACCCGTCCAGGTCATTTTCCTGTTTATGTTTCTTTTTAGCGATCCATCTTTTCTCCTTGTAAGCAGAACATCTAGGAAGGCTATTTTACCCCCATTTTCTTTTTCACATGTGAATTTTATGGACGGGTGAGCTGTATTGAATTGCTCGAGTGTTCTTATCAAGTCCGTACGCTCGTTACAAAGGATAAATGTATCATCCATATATCGACAGTACAATGGAAACTTATCGATCTCTTGTGCCAGTGGGCCGTTTTCTAGTTTAGAAAGGAAAATGTCTGCCAATATGGGACCCAGGGGTGAACCCATCGCGACGCCATCTATTTGTCTGTAGATTTCCCCATTGAACTTGAAATGTACATTCATAGTGCATTTTAGTAATAATTCTTTGATGATCTCTACAGGGATTGTCGTTTCTAGTTCCTGTTCTCTAAGTTGTTCACAAATATATTCTACAATTTCATTTTGCTTATAAACCGTTTCAAGTTAACACTTCATATTAGTCAGCCCCAACATTAACGATTTTATTTTTATATAACAAACAATTCCTGATTCACATATTACCATTTCCAAATGATGATGTATTTTGCCTTAAATCTGGCCAATTTTATGGATTATTAATCTGGATTTATAATTGTAGAACCTGATGAGAAATTATTGAAAAGAATATTCTTCGTTCATACAATTGTGTTTTTAATATAATGGGAATTTTTCATCAATTTTCACTAGTGTTCAAGATTTGACTACGTCCAAAAACCAGCTTATACATCTCTTGAGGCATTTCGGTACTCTTATTACAAATCGGATGACTTAGTATGAAGTCAGATTCAATGCTGAATTGATGGTGTGACGGAAAATGGAGTAGACTGTTGTTTGACTAAGTGGAAACTGTAAAACTGAACTCATGGTCATTCCGACAATTTTACTATCGCTATTCGAAACACTTTCCAACAGATCCGACTTCAAATAGACGGACGGTAGCCGGTTGAGCATATGTAGGATTCTTAATTTTTCAGTTTTATTTGTTGGTTGACTGCTGTCACCTTTCACAGTTGAAATCTGAAGCTCTCATGAATGTCGTACGGTGTTGTATATCTTATGTGCTTGAACTGGCCATGTCTGGAGATCATATACATGGAAACAACCAAACTATGTGGATTCCTATAAACCTCTGGATGGGTTGGCATTGGCGAAGTTCAAACAATTCGAAACAGTCTGTTCTGATTGACGTACTTCT